ATTGTGTTTTAAGCTTTTGAATAGAACCAGCTTTATCCATTAGGATTATACATTTTTTTGTGCTTTATATTTGCCACGAAATATAATTTGAAAACACATTTTTTTTAAAAAAAAGTTAAAACTGTTAAAAAGCATTGTGATTTTGAACTGGTATAGCCTTTGAAGGAAGAGGGGGTAAAAAAGTCCACGAATATCAATCTATTTGTTCCGGTAAATTTCATACGAAATATTATATGCGAACAAACATAAAAATCTATTTAAATTATTTTAATTCAAATGTTTCTTCTAGTCAATCATTAAAAGAAAGGCTTACAAAAGCACATAAGGTAGAGCGGTGTGAGAATATTATAAGCTTACGACTGATTGTGTTGAATTAAACCGGCTTTATCCATTAGAATTCTACATTTTTTTTTTCTTTCTTCTTTTAAGTCGCCAAGAAATGTGTTACGAAAACGAACTTAAAAAAGAAAACTAACAAAAAGTTTCCTTTTTAAAAAAATGAATACGCATAAATCCTCAAAGTTTGAAAAAAAGTTTCGAACTGTTAAAAGGCATTGTGATTTTAAACCGGTATAAAGGAAAAAGGAAAAGAGAAAAAAAAAAGTCTTTGAATATCAATCTATTAGTTCTGCATGCTCGAATAAACGCGTGATTATTTCTGAAAGACAATATAGCTGCGGCGGAAGGGAAATTCAATTATCCAAAAAGAAATGACCAATGATCCATTCATCATATTATTGTGAACTAAACTTTAAATTCAGGCTTAAAGGAAAATATTTGTTAAAAACCATTACTGTGTGAGACCACCTACCTGAGAAAAACGTTTTTCAAATTTCCATACAAATGAGAACTTTCAAGATGGTTTATCCGTGAATATTTTTACACCATAATGTATGGCATGTGTGATAGCGCGTAAAAGAATGTTTAGGGAATAGCTTTACAAAAGAGAAATAATAATAATTGCTCCCGTTTTAAGCTTACATTTCTCCGTATCATAGTAAAAGGGGGGAGCATATCTGCCGACCCTCATTTTTTAAAGTGTAGATTTACTGCAAATGTGCAGAAAAATATACTTAATATGCAGAAGCCCAGACTTTAGATGGACCAAACTTGGCCTAACAGTAACAGTTGCAAACTCACAGCAGTCAAAAAAATAGTATATTGTTCGCAAAAAAGCAATTAGACTGTAGCTTAGGAAAAATTCTTGCCGTAGTATAGCTTATTTTCACGCCGTATGTGCAAAGATAAATAATTCTAAGAAGGTATTAAATAGTATTATGTATTATCAAAAGGCAGAAGAGTTATCCGCTGTGCTTGGTTTTTTTTTTTTTTTTTTTTTTTTTTTTTTTTTTTGAACGAAGCTTAAAAATTTTTATTTTGACAAACATGCTATTTTTTTCCATCTTTCATGTATTCTCACTCATTAATACTCTACTTACAAAGAGGTATAATAAATAACGCTAAATAATGAGAAATACTATAACCAAGCATAAATGAGTTATCACGTCTTCTATTGTACATTTTCATATCCTAAAACCCTTCGTGCATTCGCGCATGCGCCAGTTCTGCTTCAATTTCATCAAAATAGAAGAGCGGTAAGAGAAAAAAAAAATGATTATTCCTGCGGGTCTTAGAACTAAGAAAAAATAAATTTTAGATCATCGCAACGTAACATCCCTTTCTTAAAGTGAAATCGTCCCGGAGTGGTAGTTTTTGCTTTCAAAAACGAACAGCCTAAATGTAGGATTGATATACAGATGATCAAAACAGGAATGAAAAAAAAAAAAATATCTGGAGCAAAAATACTCCTGGGATAAGTATAATTATGTACAGCTTGGTTTATGTTTGCTTTCGGTGAGGCTCATTTCGCCGAAACTGCTCTCTTCAATGTTCGGATATCATCAGAATGTTGATTAGACAAGCTTTATAAATAGACGCACATTTTCGTTCAATTCCAGAGATACTTAGCCATCGCTCATTCACACGAAAGACGTACCTTAGTGTGTGATGATAACTCTACGATTATTAAAATTAATTACTTTTGTTATGTTTCTGACTGAATTCTCAATGGTGAACACGTGAAACTTAATTTTATACTTCAGTTCATAAAATGTCTGATCAAGTAATTATGAGAAGAGATGTAAAAATATTTCTCTTTCAATTTTATAGAATAATTTTTGCTAAACTTCTCCTTAACTATCTCTAATTTCAAGTGATAACGTTTTTTACCCTTTCGGATGGGTATTTTGGAAGTGAATGCAGGTCATTCATTTCACCAACAGATAGATGTCAGGAAGAAATAGGAAATAAATGCAGATTTATTGGAAGTAAAAAGCAATATGTAAAAAAAGAACAGAAAAAAAAACAATTCTACTTAATAATGCCTTTTTAAAAAAGTGACTAGAAAAATGCATTTAAATTAATAAAATAATCTAATGTAAGCGAATATTAATAATAAGCAGTCACTCATTCTCAATCCTTTCAAAACAATTCGGTAAAATATAAATAAATTCAAGAAACAATTTAGAAACTAATTATTTTTCAAGTGTAAATAAATGTTATTTTACAAATTAAAAATCAGTGAAACAATTTCCAATTTCTCAAAACTGAATTTGCTATTATATTCGAATAATGGAAAAATGCAATGAGGAAGTGAAATAAAATGAGGAACTGTCATTTTATTGTCTATAAAAGGTCAACAATTATCTATAAATAGTTTATATTATTCACAAGAAGAAAAAATATTTTGTTTTTAATCGAAGAAAAAAAAATCGGAGCATACATTGGATTGGGCTGTATTAATTTTTCACGCAGACTTATTGAAACCACCTTATTGATAGTTTCCTTTTCATTTATTTATTTGTAAAGTTATAACTATTTGGTATTATCTATGGACGGAAACTTTTAATCGATTTTGCAATAAATCTGATGGTCAAGATATTGAAATATAACTTTATTTTTGAGCATTCTTCCCCCCCCCCAATTTCAACCAAATGAAAGGTAGAATTTTATAAATGAACTTCAGATAAGGCTTGCTGTAATAATCAGATTAAAATACTGTCACGCATTCAAAGAGCATTTCAGAATTCTTCCTCCTATTATGTCTCGTATTATAATTTTATTCTAACATAGATATAACATCAATTTTTAAAACACTGAGTTATGCTTAAAATTTCTGCACATAGAACTTTCACGTTAGAAAGGCAGATAAATAAAACAGCGTTGTACTAATATGAAAACTGTAGTAGAAAATATTAAAATTCTGTGGAAAGAAAAAAGTCATTATTTTTTTAAAAAATCTTTTTCCCTTTTTAGATAACTTAAATGTATGCAGATAGCCAATCTTATGACAAAATTAAATTCCTAGCGTAAAATTCTAATTTTACAGATTTTGATGTGATTGTAATTTATAAATTTACATTCACACGTGATTTAAATTTTTTCATATATTTGTCTTAAAAATGAACGATCTGTGTAAAAAATTAATGTTTTAAATCAAAATGCAGTCATTTTGTTATACGTAAAAGTTTTATGGTATTAAATTAATAAATGAATAATTATAAATTCTAATCTCTATAATTTTGAAAGTACAATTAATTAATAATAATTTCTGTGATTATATGCAATTAATAAATGTACATGCATACGTGATTCAAGTTTCCTTTTTTTTATATTTATATAATTGTATTAAAAATTAACGATAGGTGTAAAAAAATGTCTTACGTCAAAATGCAGTCATTATGTTATACGTAAAAGTTTTATGATATTAAATTAATAAGTAAATGCTTGAATAGAAATTATAATTGCTGTTTAAAACTTCATTAATAATTTTACTAAATGCTCTTGATAGATATGACAAGATGTTAAAAGAAATATGTTTAAAATGTATGCTATCTTAAAATTTTACAAAATTTAATTTCAATTTAAAAGAAGATTAGGTGTCCGATTAGGTAAAAAACGGCAGTCTTGACAGCAAATATTTTTCTTTTTTGTCATCTATTGTTCATTAGCTTTCAAAAACCCATTAAAATTTTTATCTCCCATTTTTAGAAATGAAGTTGCAGTTGTTTTTTCGCGTGCTGCCAAACGAAACCGAAACCGGAAGTAAACTCACAAAAATGAAACTAAATTTTTTTGTTTTTGAATATTTGAACACTCATTTATTTGAATAAATTATATTTTCAAAAAAGTAAAATTCCTTTCGGATAATTAATTATTTATTATCAGAATTTTCTTGCATTTTAAATGCATTTTCTGAATAATGGTAATCGTGAGAAAGTTTCTTTACACTAACACATTACAACAAAAGTTTATAATAGAATTCTTTGAAATTTCGAATGTACGTTTTGTTAGCGATGTTTTGAACTAAATGCTTAAGTTTGAATTTGCTATCCTTATCAAGCTTTAAGTAAGAATATTTAGAAGTTTTCTTTAAAACTTCGTTATTAAGCAATGCATTAGTTTTATTTTTTTAATTTTTTATTTTTCTAAATTTTTTTTAAGGTTTTAGATTAAAACACAGGTAATCACATGATTGATCTAGAAAAAATAAAAATTTGTTTCTGAGTAAAATACTTTATAAATTTTCAAACTTAACTTTAAATTTATAATTTTAGAATACCTGCTTGCTAAATCTAAAACTAACATTTTAATGGAGCCTTTTTAGAAAAAAAAATGTGTCGAAACTGGTCGAATAACTTAAAAAGAATATACAATACATATAAGCGACCTTTGGATAAGTTTTTATAAGGTATTGATTGATTGGTTATATGAGGAGTTTTACTGTATGAGAATAGATTAAAATTCAGGTCAAATTGTGTGACTCTGATTATTATTAATTGGTAATACTACAAGAATTTTCGGAATTAATGGTCGCCAACGATATTTACAATTTCCGGATAATTCCTGTTCCCCCCCCCCTGCTTTTAAAGAGAATGGCCACCGTGCGTACGTAACTGGAATAATTATAATATTGTAAATACATATTTAAATCTACTTACTCATTGGCACAATGATTATAAAAAGCTTGACTCCTAAAATAAAAGAAAAAAAAACATATTTAGAACCATCAAATAACATTTTCGACATATCAGACAAATTTAATTACAAAACACTTTCACAATAATTAATAAATCTTCTCATAATTATTCCTCCATAAGCTAGTGACCCGATTACACATCGATCAGATATGGAATATTCAGGTTATAAAGAAAAAAGAACTCAACTTAAACGCCTTATTGTTCAAAACAAACCTTACTGCAAAGAGACTAAAAACTTACGCCAAAAAGCGCTAATGAATCGTAATTTTCATTTCGGTTTTGGAATTTAGGGCACTAGTAAACACGGTAGCATTATTTGAGCCGATAATAGGGGCTGTTTGATTTGATAATTGTGTGCCTTACAATGTTCGAGTCAATCACGATAAGGAAAATCTTACTGATGAAAGTTAATTTTGGTGCACTTATGCTAAATGCTTTGTCTTTTAAATGAAGTTTTATTTTGACTACTGTCTTAATTTATATGATTCATTCAATATCTAGTAAAGTAGTTTATTTATCATTGTACTTTGTTGGATGATATAAACTTTGATAATTTTCTCATTATTTTTTTCCAGCGATACAATACGCAAAATTTCTTTTAATCAATTATATGGTTATTACGTAATTAAAAACTACATTCGTAAATAATAAATAGCGTAAGTAGAAAATCACACTCGACATTCTTCAAGCATGATTTAAGCTAAGAAACGCGATAGCTATTCCAGTTATCAAAAACACGCGAAATCACCAATTGTTGCACATTGTTGGAATCTTGAGCATAGATTTAATTTTGACTATGCCAAAATTATATCCATCTTAGTCACATCAGCTCATCGTGATGTCTTTGAATCTTGTTTTATTCATATGAATGCTAATTCCCTTGTTAACGACATCACATCGCCTCTCCAAAGCGCGTAGAAATGCATTTTACCCTGATTTGCTCCTCTCGGTCTCTGCGGTTTTTCCAGTTTTGTTTCGCACCTTAATTTTTCTCATTTTTCGTTGAAAACTTTTCGTTTGATATTTTAAATCACATTTGTATCCTCTCATTTACATCTGGCAGGTTTTGAAAATGGGTGTCTGTTCTTGGACTCATAAAACATGTCGACTGTTATTTCCTATTTATGTATTTTAAAGGTGAAAGAAGTTTGTTATCGTGTTATATCTTACCGCTTCTGTTTCTTGGGATTATTTCACATTGGTTATTAACGAACGATAAACAAAATTCTTCAAAATGTTCTCTAGCATAGTGGAAAAACTAAGTTATGCATGAGAAAAAAATTTTAAATTTTTGAAGAAGGATCTGATGTTAGTCTTGTTCAACAAAACATTCATTTTATGTTGTTTCATCATTTATTTTTGTGTGATTCATTCAGAGTAATTATTTTTTTTTAATGCCACTAGCTACAATTGAAAATAAAAACTAAAAAATATTCTCTTTAGAACTTTTGCAAAAAAAATCTTTTACAAGGAGATAAAAAATATATAAAATAATAATTTTATATCATAAAGAACGATAATATGCACGAGCAATGTAAAAAAAAATCGGTAAATAAGTGAATAAACGAAATTAGTATTTTTAATGACATACATATTACGCTGGACCCAATAGCTAAAATTTTCTTTTGTAAATTTCAAAGAAAAAAAAATTTAAATTATTCTCCTGTAATTGTCGATATTAGAAATACTAATCAGAAAACAAATGTTTCACTGCAACAACATTTTAATTATCATAATAAGAACTCAAATGAGTGGAGGCTTTATCCATAAACTGTATGCTAAACACATTTATTGAACCGAATTCACACGGTAGTTGAACCGACTAACTAATACGGACATCTACTTGAGGCCAGTGGACCACGACCTTTATTTTTTTTAATAACACTTTTATATTGACAAGAACCAAGAAATGTAAATGGAAAGAATAGTAAAAATTCAACACCACAGTGGCTCACTCAGTGAGGTGGCAAATAAAAAAAAGTAAAAGGTCAATTAAATATCTAAAAAACAATTTTTGATTTTAATTTACTTTTGTTTCTTTTTTAAGACATAATAAACACAGGACAGAATTGCACTTTAAACAACTTCTTGCTTTTGGATTACCTTTTGCGAAAATATTTTGGATTACCTTTTGCGATAACCTTTTGGATTACCTTTTTTTTTCAATCAAATATTAAAGATTCCGATAAATTAAGTACGATAAATGTGAAAGCTAAACAAAATTATCACTAAGGGGATCGATAAAAAATTCGGTGCTCGTAGTATTAATGTCATGCCTTTACATTTTCACCAATATCTATAGATGCTACAAATATTAATGTCACTGTTTTTAAGTTCGTTAGTCGTAATGAAACTTCTACAGCTCCCATTTTTGTCCATATCTTTAAATATTACAAATATTGACGTCACTTTCACAAAGTTCATTAGTTCTAAATGTTATTTTCGAGTCTTAAATTTTTGTCTATATCTATAAGAAGATTATGTTGTAGTTGTTCATTTACGTCGCTCTAGAGCTGCACAATGGGCTATTGGCGACGGTCTGGGAAACATCCCTGAGGATGATCCGAAGACATGCCAACACAATTTTGATCCTCTGCAGAGGGGATGGCACCCCGCTTTGGTAGCTAAACGACCTGCACGCGAAGTCGAGACTTTACGATAGAACAGTTTAACGAGGACCCATACCGCACACCCTCGGTCCCTACGCAGACTGATCCAAGTGGTCACCCACCCGCACACTGACCGTAGCTAGTGATGCTTGACTTCGGTGATCTGCTGGGAACCGTGTCTGAACGATCAGTCCACTGCGGGACTATAAGAAGATTAAATATCATTGCCGCTCTTATTATGTAACAAAATAATCTTAGAAACACAAAATAAAATGAGAGTAAAATTTAAAAAGTAGTTAAATTTTATGATGTAATGAATTTTAGATTTATAATGCATCTTGAAAAGAAAGAATCTCGTCGGTTCCTGAAACGTGATACAGTTCCTAGCGTTGGTGACGCACCAGTGCCATTTCCACTCAAAAAATTTTTTTAAAGAATTTTTTTTTTTTTTATTTTACAAACTGCTCTCCTTACTTTGCACAACTATTTTAGTATACTAGTAATACTTTGCACAACTTGCAAACTATTACTTTCTACCTAGTCAATAAAATCCATTCAGGAAATTTATTTATTTTTATGATTTATACACAGAGACCCACTCAGTTATGCAGGATTTCGTTATCCAATCTTTAACGTAATACTAATTACTATTTACTTCTAATTTATTCGAATTTTAAAGCTATGGTTTTGATAAAATTGCTCTTAAAATGGAGCTGAGAACCAATTTGTTAAAGGATTAAAAGAATGAATGACACACGTCGATTTCAAACAAAAATATCCCCATTGTACAATGGAAGTCCAGCCACCTAAGAGATTATGAGGATACGATACCATATTTAAAAATAGAATTTTTCTCCAACTCAGCGAATGGTAGAAAAGAAGGCATTGTTCGAAAGCATTCATCAGATCATTCAACTCCACAGTTCAAAGCGAATCGTGGATGAAGATTTGAGAAAACTCAATTGAAAAGATTTTAAATCAAGAAGAAATCTTTATCGGAAAAATACATCTGTACCTGACTATTGTTACAGGAATGTGTTTGCACTATCTCTACGAGGAATGCCTATCTTATTTAGAATGGTATAATTCTAATTTAACTGTTTGATTTTTGCAGCATTGTTTTAAGGAAATCCGGGATATCTAAATATTTTAAGTAGGTAATTATTAAAAATGCATTGATGGATTCGCTATTTTATCAGTAAATATTAGGGTATCAAGCTTCAAACTTTGTACGCTATTTGGTTGTATATTTAGATTATGAATAGCGCGTTTATGAATGAAATCAGTGTCATTAATACATTCGATATCGATACACTTCAAAGTTACGGTACAAGGCCGGAATAGCCTGGTGGGTAGGGCACTAGACCCATGCCCAAGAAGTCCTGGGTTCGATCCCCGCCGACCGAAGACTCCCCGTGCAGTAAATGGTAACTGATGCACGTTAAATCTGTCGAGTCTCAAAATTACTCGTAATTTACTCTTACTACGAGTAATTACTACGACTTATTATGAGTAATTTTTCTCAAAATTACTCGTAATAAGTCCTTCATGTTCCTATAACAAATAAATACCTCTGGGGTTACTGATCCAGAAGTTTCCTTGTCTTCTGGATTGGTTCAAAATTACAAGGATGGGACCAAAGATTGGGTCGGCGAGTTCAACGACGGTTATATACATAGATAAAAAAAGTTACAGTGCAAAATCAGCTAGAAATAGAGCCAAAAGAGAGACATTTTGAAGAAACTATGGAACTTTAAAATACAGCTGAGAGAAAGAGATTATGTTAGGTCTTTCTTGAGTGAGATTTTTAATTCTGTCCTAATCGTGTCTGAAAACTAATTATTGTAATTAATAATAGTGCATGTTAAATGTTCAGGTACCTGAAGACGAATAACGTTGCTTATGGATTCACATACTAAATTTTTATTTTTGGAACTAGAATACTTGTCTATTTTTACTACTTATTTTTTTCTAACCTTTTCTTAAGTTTTTATACAATGAATGAGCTCGTCGTAGAATAAAGGACATAAATACATTTGAAATTTGAAATGTTTACGCAGGGAAGTGATATCAGTTATTTGTTCCAAATGTAATTCTTAAATGTTATCGATCTGCATATAAATTAAATATAGGTACCTTAACCTGTACGATTCGGAAGGATTTGTGGAGGCAGGTTTTCACATTAAAATTCTATGAAAAACTAAATTAGAGAAGTTTTATGGTTAACGAATAAACGATTGTTTCTGCTTCTTCCCCCCCCCTTGTTGTAAGTCCAAAAACGTTTTCTTTTTAACTGAGTCATATCGAATAAATTTTCCAACCCACTTTGCATAGCATTTTTAGTTCCCTTACATCAAATAAAACATACAGCATTTTTAACCTAAT